CGTCCATGGGATCGTCGGCGGTGGTAGAGCTCGTCGTGGTAGAGGTAGTCAATCGTCGCCACCAAAGTCGAACAGTTTCACATAGCACCCGTTCCATGAAAATGACAATCACCACCATTGTCATCAACCATTTCCATCCATCATCGTAGCCATCTGAAGTCGCCGAAGAGGAAGACGAGGATGTCGATGTCGCCGATGTCGTCATAACCAATAAGGATAGACACATGAACCTTGGCTTCACAAAGGCGGTGCAGGCAACGATGCTCGCCGCTGGCTTGGAAAGCTCTCGGATGAGCTCCTTGTCATCCATGTCAAAGTGGTGCTCCTCGATCTCGCTCATCACCGGCAGCGATCGAATAACCATCTTGTGCTTCTCCTGGTTGTAGAACTGCACGGTGCCGGTGGTAAGCAACTTCATCATCGGCTCGGCAATCATGGTCTTCGTAAGCGCGTCAGCAGTCATAGACTCGGTAGGCGTGAGGCACATCCAACGCACCCTTCCAGACATACGCGCCTCTCTGAACGACAAGACATACAGATGCTGGTTCTTGTCCTGCGGGGCATTCTTGTCTCCCGAAGCAAGTTCATAGAAGTCCCGGCAGTCGGTGTAGGCGTCGATGGGAAGGTCGCGGACTCCACGCTCTTGCTGGGCAATCAAACCTTGCAGAGTTGGAGGTCGTGGTGAATAAAGTAACTCTGCCAACCTCACTGACACCAACGTTCCAGCTTCCAGTCCACTGACTGCTGCAAGTGTCTCCGCGTGCGAAGTAGAGTAGGAAATCCTCTTCGTTTTCGCACCGTGGGACCAAAGGATGTGACATCTGCCGCCGAGAGCCTTGCACTGATCATCGGTGAGGATGTGCTCGTGCTCGCGGCTGAACTGGTCCATATGGTCCTCGCACAGCAACACCAGTATGCCTTCCTGGGCGTAATGACGTGTGTTGCCGGCCGCGGAGGAGTCATGCACACAGGCCAGGCGAAGCGGGGGCCGAAGCTTTTGGAAATAGAGACCCATGCCTTGCCCCACTTCTTGCCGTGCTCTCTTCACCACACCATTAGCTTGCCTCAAGTGGGCAACTTTTGCACGCGTCACCTGTGACTGGAGGGCGCACACTTCCGCGATGAGGTCCAGTCTCGTCGCTGTGAGCCATAACAGTCCTCCCAAAATGGAACGAAACATAGTGACCTCAGAGGGGATCAACAGCGCGGAAGCCGTCCGGGATCTTCTCGTAGAGCACCCCACAGTGGGTGAACGGAAGGGTTTGGCGAGTCACTTTGCCAAACTTGCTTTGCAGCAGAGCCAGCTGTTGAGCCAACCATTCCTTCTTGCCACCAGCTCCACAATCGTCGACGTGAGTAGTGACGATGGAGGTTGTGCGACCCGTCTTCTTGTCGCGCCAGTAGAATAAATTTTCATCCATCAAGGATGCCGATCCTCCTTGTTCCTCGAAGTGGCCGTGGAGGCATAATTACCAGGCTAGCGGAGCATCCGACAACCCATACACGGATTTTATGCAGAAAAGCACATACTGGC